AAATATGTGCTTGTGATAGGGACCAGATGACTAACGACAACCTTCTTTTTTTTTTTTTTTTTTTGAGACAGAGTCTTGCTCTGTCACCCAGCCTGGCATGCAGTGGTGCGATCTCGGCTCACTGCAACCTCCACCTCCCGGGTTCAAGCGATTCTCCTGCCTCAGTCTCCCAAGTAGCTGGGATTACAGGCGCCTGCCACCACGCCCAGCTAATTTTTGTAGTTTGGGTAGAGATGGTGTTTCCCCCATGTTGGCCAGGCTGGTCTCTAACTCCTGACCTCAGGTGATCCACCCACTTCGGCCTCCCAAAGTGCTGGAATTACAGCCGTGAGCCACCGCACGCGGCCTAATGACAACCTTCCCACACACTCAAGCCCCGACCTCTGCCTCTCCTAAGGAGAAGGGACGTTTGATTGCCAGAATGGCTGGAGGTGTGGAAGGAGGATGAAGTATTGGGTGGCTGCAGTAAGCCGTGATTGAGCCACTGCACTCCCACCTGGGTGACAGAGCGAGGCCCTGTCTCAAAAAGGCATAGGGTGGATGGGAAGGGATGTAAAGAAAAACAGAGTGAGCAGGGACCAGAGAGGCAGGGGCAAGACTTAGCTTTGTTCTGTTTCAAGACATAGAGAAGAGATATTTGGGAGCATCTGTCATATTGAATGAGACTTTGGGGACACAAGTGGAATGATGATGTTTTCTAGGGAGTTTTCCTGAGTGTGGAATGGTCTAGTCTCATTCACCATCAGCCCCTCAAGGAAACCTTCAGTAAAGATGGAATTGGCCTGGCACAGTGGCTCATCCTATAATTCCAGCCCTTTGGGAGGCTGAGGTGGGCGGATCACAAGGTCAGGAGATCGAGACCCTCCTGGCCAACATGGTGAAACTCTGTCTCTACTAAAAATACAAAATTAGCCAGGCATGGTGGCACACGCCTGTAATCCCAGCTACTCGGGAGGCTGAGGCAGAGAATTGCTTGAACCCGGGAGGTGGAGGTTGCAGTGAGCTGAGATCACGCCACTGCACTCCAGCCTGGAGGACAGAGCAAGATTCCTTCTAAAAAAAAAAAAAAACACATACACATGGGATTTACTCTTCACAGCGTTCAGGGTTGCATTTCTTTTTCGATGAGTGGTACTGAGAAGAGCCTCAGGGTGGGAGCAGGCAGGCTCAGCTGTGTCAGGTGATACCTGCACACATGCATGGTCACATAGCCCAACACTATACGGGCCTTGCTTGTAAGTCCCTTATTCTGTCCTCTAGCAATGTGACCACGTGGGCAAAATTTGGAATTCCTTTAAAATTCCTTCTAGGCAGAGATTTAAGCTAAGAGGAGGACCTGAGTGACCTCGGTGTGACATCTGAAAGCCTATGACAAGCCTCTTGGGCTTTTTTACGAATATAGCTGTGCCCCTGCCTACCGATATGCTTATGTGTGTCTACAATATTCCGTGAGGAGCAGAAACGCTGAACACCAAATAACAGAAACCCATTTGGTCTAACTCCATCTCTGCCTACTCAGACATCTGCTTCTAGCGGTATCACAGATATGTCTATGTGGCTAAAATAAATGGAGTTAGGCAGCGATGCACACAGGCTGACAAGCCCAGGATGGAGGGCAGTGCTGCAGATGCTCTGCTCTCTGCTGGAATGTGTGGACATACAGGACTCCCTATCCCAGGACACCCGCAGACCCCCCCATGAATCCAAGATGCTCCCCAATGACGGTGATGATGACAGAACAGAGATGCCATCCCTGGTCACTCACACACATACACACACACACACGCTCCCACTGCCTCCCTCTGCACTCCTTCCAAAGGCACCTGCCTTCCTCTCCTCTCAGTCCACAAGCCATCCTCCAGCTGCCACCTCTCTATCAGCCTTGGCTACCCCCACCCACGCTGGCACCTGCCTGGCAGCTCCCTATCCACCCCCTCAGCCCTCAGGAGGCCAGGGCACATGTGGAACAGGTTGATGCTGTTCTCCCGGAAGTGGAGCAGGAAGGGGGTGGGGTCACTAGGGCAGGTGGGGTCCCTGGAAGCCTCTGTCCCTGCATAAAGCAGGCTGTCCTGGCAAGGGACGGTCATCCTCTCAACCTACAGACCCAGCGAGCCCCAGGCCCTCACCCCAGACCCAGCTGCTGGACAGGACTGAGCCCCGCTCCCAGGTAAGAACTTGATGACAGCAGGGAAGGCAGGGGTGCTCTGGGGACACAGGGAGATGGGTAGACCAAGAAGGGCATGGAACTCCCCTAGAGTCCAGTGGGATAAGTATCCCGATAGGCCTAGGGGAGGGAAGGGAGAGGCAGGCCTGTGGGCATCTCTCCAGTGAAGAGGAGGCTGCCGTTGCCCAAGCCCTTCCCAGGTGCACCCAGGTGGCACCAGGAGGTTGTCTGGTAGAACAGCCCTACCCATCTGCGCCGTGCTTCCTGCCCCCCCTGCCGCTGTGAAGTGCCCGTGGTGGATGTGGGGTGCTTCCACGCCAGCTGCTGTGGCCTCTTCCACCCACGGGGATAACTGGGGTGTGCCGATTGGCCACCCAGCCAGAGCACCTGGACTCAAACTTCAAAGACAGAGACTTAAGATGTTGACCCTCAGGTCAGGCGTGGTGGCTCACGTCTGTAGTCCCAGCACTTTGGGAGGGTGAGGTGGGCGGATCACCTGAGGTCAGGAGTTTAAGACCAGCCTGGCCAAAATGGGAAAACACCGTCTCTACTAAAAATACAAAAATCGGCCGGGCGCGGTGGCAGGCGTCTGTAATCCCAGCTACTTGGGAGGCTGAGGCAGGAGAATCACTTGAACCCAGGAGGTGGAGGTGGCAGTGAGCCGAGATCGTGCCATTGCACTCCAGCCTGGGCAACAAGAATGAAGCTCCATGTCAAAAAGAAAAAAAAAAAAGATGTTGCCTCTCAGGTTCCCATGGGCCCCACATTATCCAGGGCCCTCTCACCCTAGCGCACCTCTCTCGGGGCCACATTCATTGGTTCTTTCCACACACATTTGCCAAGCTCCAACTCTGTGCCAGGTGTGGTACTTGCTGCTGCAGAGATGACTAAGACCCATTTCCTGCTCTCTGGGAAGTCACAGACGAGGAGCTGAGACGGTCAGGTGAGCAGATCATAACAGGAAGGTGCATCAGAAGAGCGCTTTGGAAACACAGATACAGTCACCAGCTGCCTGGAGGACTGAGGGACAAGGTCCCAGGAGGTGACCTGAATTGAGTGTTAGAAGAGGACCAGGGAGTCTTCAGATCTCAAAGGGGTATTGTAAGCAGAGGGGGCAAAGGTGAGGCGCATCAAAATGCATGGATCCTGGCTGGGCACAGAGGATCACACCTGTAATCCCAGCACTTCGGGAGGTCAAGGAGGGCGGATCACCTGAGGTCAGGAGTTCGAGACCAGCCTGGCCAACATGGTGAAACCCTGTCTCCATTAAAAATACAAAAATTTGCCAGGTGTGGTGGCACACACCTGTAGTCCCAGCTACTCATGAGGCTAAGGCAGGAGAATCGCTTGAATCCAAGAGGTGGAGATTGCAGGGAGCTGAGATGGCACCACTGCACTCCACCCTGAGCAACAGAGTAAGACTCCATCTCAAAAAGAAAAAACAAAAGTCTGGATCCAGGCATCCCCCAGGGGCTGTGAGAGGGGAGTGGGTCTACTGATACCTGTGAGCTGGGAGGCACGCACAAGGGAAGAACAGGGTGCAGGGAAGTGTACCCCACACACGGAAAGGGCGACTGGGGCAGGTGAGCAGCTTGACCACCCCGGCCCTTGGTGCCAGCAGCATCTCCTTCCCTCCCCTGGTGTCCTCAGACCCTGGCTATTGCTAGTCTCTGGTGTGAGAGAAAGCTTTACTTCCATTGCTAAATAAATACTTCCATTGCTAGACCAGGCGCAGTGGCTCACACCTGTAATCCCAGCACTTCGGGAGTCTGGGGTGGGAGGATTACTTGAGCCAGGAGTTTGAGACCAGCCTGGGAAACATAGTGAGACTCTGTCTCTACAAAAAGATTTAAAAATTAGCCAAGTGCATGACTGCAGTCCCAGCTACTCAGGAGGCTGAAGTGGGAGGCTCAATCAAGCCTTGGCGGTCAAGGCTGCAGTGAGCTGTAATCATGCCATTGCACTTCAGCCTGGGCAACAGCGTAAGACCCTGTCTCGGAAGAAAAGAGAAGAAAGTGAAGCGAGGTTGGCCGGGCGCGGTGGCTCAAGCCTGTAATCCCAGCACTTTGGGAGGCCGAGACGGGCGGATCACGAGGTCAGGAGATCAAGACCATCCTGGCTAACACGGTGAAACCCCATCTCTACTAAAAAATACAAAAAAGTAGCCGGGCGAGGTGGCGGGCGCCTGTAGTCCCAGCTACTCGGGAAGCTGAGGCAGGAGAATGGCGTAAACCTGGGAGGCGGAGCTTGCAGTGAGCTGAGATCCGGCCACTGTACCCCAGACTGGGCGGCAGAGCGAGACTCCGTCTCAAAAAAAAAAAAAAAAAAAAGAAAGTGAAGCGAGGCAAGGTGAGGCGAGGTGGAGGGAAGGAAGGAAGGGAAAGAAGGAAAGAAGGAAGGAAGGAAGGAAGGAGAGGAAAGAGAGGAAGGAGAGGAAGGAAGGAAGGAGAGGAAAGAAGGAAGGAAGGAGAGGAAAGAAGGAAAAAGAGGAAGGAAGGAGAGGAAAGAAGGAAAAAGAGGAAGGAAGGATGGAAGGAAGGAGAGGAAGGAAGGGAAGGAGGGAGGAAGGAAGGGAGGGAGGGAGGAAGGAAGGGAGAAAAAGAAAGAAGAAAGAAAGAAAGAAAGAAAGAAAGAAAGAAAGAAAGAAAGAAAGAAAGAAAGAAAGAAAGAAAAAGAAAGAAAGAAAGAAAAGAAAGAAAGAAAAGAAAGAAAGAAAAGAAAGTCCAGTTGGGCTCAGTGGCAGTGAAGAAAATGAGTGTGGAGAGAGAAAAAGGAACTTGACAAGGAAAAGGGAGGTGAGGCTTTGCTGACCATCTATGGGACTTTGGGGCAACTCTTTAACTAGGTTCCTCATCATAAAATGCAGACTCCGTTGGTTCTTTCCAGCTGTGACATCAGACAATCCAGGCATCTCTAAGAGCTCTCCCTGCCCCAGAGTCGGGCGAACCCTCTCTGCAGGGGCCCAGCCCATATCCCGGGTTCCTTGGCAACCACCTTGACACTCTCCTGTCTCCCCATCTCCACAGAGACCATGACCATGTTTGAAAATGTCACCCGGGCCCTGGTCAGACAGCTAAACCCTCGAGGGGACCTGACACCTCTTGACAGCCTCATCGACTTCAAGCGCTTCCATCCCTTCTGCCTGGTGCTAAGGAAGAGGAAGAGCACGCTCTTCTGGGGGGCCCGGTACGTCCGCACCGACTACACACTGCTGGATGTGCTTGAGCCGGGCAGCTCACCTTCAGGTCAGCCTTGAGCAGGGCTGGGAACTGAGGGATACTGAGGGATGGGGGCTGGGCACCTGGCCTGCAAGGAGGACCTCAGAGCTCCCTCTGGCCAGAGGTGATTAGATGTCATCTAGCCCAAAGTCATCATCAGGAGCTGAGGAGGCTGGGGGTCAGGCGATACCTCTCAGCTCAGCCTCTTTTCTTTATTTACTCATTTGTTTTGTAGAGACGGGGTCTTGCTTTGTTCCCCAGGCTGGTTTCAAACTTCTGGGCTCAAAAAATCCTTCCACCTTGGCCTCCCAAAATGCTGGGATTACAGGCGTGAGTTACTGCGCCCAGCCAGCCCAGCCCCTTTCATCTTTTCCCTCCTGCAGATCCAACAGATACTGGGAATTTTGGCTTTAAGAACATGCTGGATACCCGAGTGGAGGGAGATGTGGATGTACCAAAGACGGTGAAGGTGAAGGGGACAGCAGGGCTCTCGCAGAACAGCACTCTGGAGGTCCAGACACTCAGTGTGGCTCCCAAGGCCCTGGAGACCTTGCAGGAGAGGTGAGAGCGGGCAGGACCGAGGGTTGCCCGGGATGTGGGTGGGGCAGTGCATGGAAAGGGTGCTTAGGGCCTCAAGTTAAAAATGCAAGTTGAAAGATAGGACCCTTGCACTGACCTTTGCCAATGTGGTCACCACAGGGGAGCTCTTGAAGGCAACCCTTCTGGCCTATGGCTGCATCCAGGCCATTTCCTAGTCACACCTCCCAGTGCTGCCACCGTCTCCAGGACCAGCTCCCCACTGTCACACATGCACAGGGAGGACTATGTCCACACCAGCTTGCTGTGTGATCTTGGAAAAGTCACTTCTCTTGGGATTTCAGTTTTCTTTTCTGCAAAATGACAGGATTGGATGATCATCTCTAAGGCTCCTTCTAACTCTGAGACTATGCAATACACTAGAAAAAGGAGGGATGGGTCTTAACTGCCCACAGCTGAGGCCTGAGCACTGTGTTCTGCTCCCATAAATGAAGCCTCCCGCCTGACCCCAATACACACTCCGCATGCCCTCGGGAATGCTGCCCCACAGCACAAAGGGTGTGGCAGGCGCCACATGGATGCTGGGCTCCATGGATGTTTGGCTTGACACGGGAACTGACTTTTAAGTAGTTAAGTAGTGGTTGAAAGAAGGAGGTAAGGACTGGGAAGGCCAGAAGGAAGGGCCAGGGTAGTCATCCAGCAAGCATGTATATAGTAAAGCACTCTGCTATGGGCTGGGGTGAGCCTAAAACATCTTTGTCCAAGAACCTTGCAGTCTAGGAAGGTGAAAATTTTAAAAACCTGTGCAACAGTAATTATAATCAAAGCCAAGAACTGCTAAATGCTGTAGGGATGGTTCGACTGAGTCTTGTGGCAGGTCAAAGGGACTTCTGGCTGGGAAAATAAGGGAAGATCTCACAGCCATGGCAGCCTCTGTTCTGGGCCTTGAAAGATGAGTAGAAATTGGGCCTGCAGGGCTGGGAGAAGGGTATTATGAAGGCACACAGGTAAGCAATCTCAAAGCCACCAGGGGCCAGGAACAGCCAGCATGGCAGGGGCAGAAGAGGTGTGAGCAGAACGAGCAGGAAATGCAGGTGAACCCAAACCCCAGAGAGGCAAGTGACAGCTCCAGGAGACTGAATTGTAGGCACCAGGAAGATCCTGAAAATGCTCTGATGTGTCCCATGACTAATCCAGCTGAACGGAGGAAGTGTGTCAGATAGGGGAAGGAGAACAGGGATTTGAAGCAGTCAGACAAGGCAAGACATTTTTCTTCTTGTTTTTGTTTGAAACGGTTTTTCGCTCTTTTTGCCCGAGCTTGACTGCAGTGGTGCGATCTTGGCTCACTGCAACCTCCGCCTCCTGGGTTCAAGCGATTCTCCTGCCTCAGCCTCATGAGTAGCTGGGACTACAGGTACCCGCCACTACACCCAGCTAATGTTTTTATGGTTTTTATTTTTTATTTTTGAGACCGAGTTTCGCTCTGTCGCCCAGGCTGGAGTGCAGTGGCGCGATCTCAGCTCACTGCAACCTCCACCTCCCGGGTTCAAGCGATTATCCTGCCTCAGCCTCCCAAGTAGCTGGGACTACAGGTGCCTGCCACCATGCCTGGCTAATTTTTTATATTTTTAGTAGAGATGGGGTTTCACCATATTGGCCAGGCTGATCTCGAACCCCTGACCTTGTGATCCGCCTGCCTTGGCCTCCCAAAGTTCTGGGATTACAGGTGTGAGCCACTGCGCCTGGCTAATTTTTGTATTTTTAGTAGATACGGGGTTTCACCATGTTAGTCAGGCTGGTCTCAAACTCCTGACCTCACGTGATCTGCCTGCCTTGGCCTCCCAAAGTGCTGGGATTACAGGTGTGAGCCACCGCGCGCCCATCCTTTTTTTTTTGAGACGGAGTCTCTGTCGCACAGGCTGGAGTGCAGTGACCCGATACCCAGTCACTGCAACCCCCGCCTCCCAGGTTCAAGCAATCATCCTGCCTCAGCCTCCCGTGTAGCTGGGATTGCAGGTGCACACCACAACACCCAGCTAATTTTCATATTTTTGGAAGAGATGGGGTTTCACCATGTTGGCCAGGCTGGTCTCGAACTCATGACCTCAGGTGATCTGCCCACCTCGGCCTCCCAAAGTGCTGGGATTACAGGCATGAGCCACTGCGCCCAGCCAAGACACTGTTCTTCTATCCCATGAGCGATGTAAACTGAGGACCCGAGCTCAGGGCAATAGGAGTGAAGAGGGAGGAATGGATGCACGGCCCATTGCCAAGGGTAATAGAATGGCCTAGGCTTGGTAACTGATTGCAGGATGAGGGAAACGGTTTTGTCAAAGGTGACTGTGAGATTTTACCCAGGTTGTGACATTATAGGACATTAAAGGTACCATTATAGGTGACAAACAGGAAGACAGAGGTTAGAGGTAGATTTGGAGATTGTGAGTTCCTTTTGTATGTTTTGAGTTTCTGGTTCTGCTGAGACATCAGCTGAGAATGTTTAACAGGTGGTTGGAAATAAGGGCCTGGAGTTCAGGAGAGAGGTCAAAGTGAAGATATACACAAGGTAATCAGCAATATGAAGATTACAACTGTAGGAGCCAGGGGAGGAGTCTCACTCCTGTAAGCCCAGCACTTTGGGAAGCCAAGGCAGGATTGCTTGAGCCCAGGAGTTCAAACCAGCCTGGGCAAGATAGTGAAACCCCCTTCTCTACAAAAAATGCAAATATTAGCAGGGCACAGTGGTGCGCCTAGAGTCCCAGTTACTCAGGAGGTTGAGGCAAGAGGATCGCTTAAGCCCAAGAGCTCAAGGCTGCAGTGAGTTATGATCGAGCCACTGCACTTCAGCCTGGGCAACAGAGTAAGACCTTAAAAAAAAAAAAAAAAGAAAAAAGAAAAAACTGTAGGAGTGAGTTGGGTGGGGGGAGCTTTTGGAGGGAGTTGAGAAAACAGGACTGAGAACAGAATCTTACAGAACATAAAATGTTAGAGAACCAAAGAAACTGGAAAATGAGGTGCAGACAGAATGGATAAGATTTAGAAACTAGAAGCACGGGAGTTGAGCCAGGGTGGTACAGTGTGACTGGAAGCCAAGAGAAGCCAGCGTTGCACGGAGGCTTTCGACAGCAGGATCGAGTATTGCACAGAGTTAGGCGAGGTCGTTGGGACTGAGAGGTAAGAGATCATTGTAATTTCAGCTGAGTAGTGGAAATAAAAGGCAAATTATAAAGAATTTAGGTGGACCAGGCACAGGGGCTCACATCTGTATTCTCAGCTATTTGGGAGGCTGAGGCAGGAGAATCGCGTGAACCCAGGAGGCAGAGGTTGCAGTGAGCCAAGATCACGCCACTGCACTCCAGCTCGGGTGACAGAGTGAGTAAGACTCCATTTCAAAAAAAAAAAAGAATTTAGGAGTGGGCAGGAAGTGGACACTGGAGGTTAGCATATCTTTTGATATATTTGCCAATGAAATGAAGGAAAAAAATAGGGTAGTAATTTGAGGGAGTAGCATGATCAAAGCAAACAAATTTTTTAGGATTAGGGACACATTTATATATGGAAGCAGATGGAAGGAGCAAGTGGAGAGGAGGAACTGGTGTCAACAGCGAGAGAGCATAAGACGTGGAGAGAAAGGATCCCAGAGAGATGAGTGGGGAGGAAAGGGGAGCGCATCTACCCCTGAACTGGAGGAAAAGGGAGTAAGAAGCACCTGAGAGGCCCTGTTACCAGCCAGGTGCTGGCCCAGATAATTACCGAGTTTATCTCTGAGCAACCCAGGAGGTCAGCATCGTTACATTCATTTCATAGATGAGGCAACTAAGACTCAGAGAAGCTGCCCTGCCAGTAAGCAAGAGATCTGGGTTTCAACCTCAGCCCTAGTCCAGAGTCCTTGCTCCTTCCCTGCCACCCACAATGTCTAGCTCCTGGGAATGACAGAAGGAACGAGGAGGGTGTGGCACAGGCAGGAAGGAGCTCTGAATGGTTTCCTTATGTTTCTCCTGTCACAGGAAGCTGGCAGCGGATCACCCATTCCTGAAGGAGATGCAAGATCAAGGGGAGAACCTGTATGTGGTGATGGAGGTGGTGGAGACGGTGCGGGAGGTCACACTGGAGCGAGCCGGCAAGGCAGAGGCCTGCTTCTCCCTCCCCTTCTTCGCCCCACTGGGGCTACAGGTTTGATTCAGAGACACACACACACTCTCACACCCACACTCACACTCACACATACACATTTACATTCAGCCCCTCCCTGGAGACTTCATTAGCTTTGCTGGATCAGTGCCAACCCAGGATGCTGAAAAGGGCCACTCCTTCCCCTAGCTCTTCAAGATCCGAACCCCAGACACAGGCCCCCTCCCTGGTCAGTGGCACCCAGTGAGGGCAGATCCCTGCGCCAGATGCCACAGGGAACTACTGGGGAAGGGGAAAGTCACATTCATGGGTTTTCCCTCATGGTGCTCCCAATCCAAAGAGGAGACATCCTTACTCTCAGAAAGTCCTCAGGTTTATACAGGAGACACAGAGGCTAAAGCCCAGAGAACACACGCTTGGAAAAGCCAATGGAAATAAGGAATGCTCTCCATACCTCTATCTATTGCATCTAAATATTCAAGGGATGATTTGGGATGTGGAGCCGGGAGTAGGGGTTAGTCATGGAAGGCGTTTTGAAAGAGGTAAGCATGGGACAGATGGCGAAGAGAAGGAAGGAGCCAGGGTTTGGACGGAAGCTCTAGGGTGATGTATAGGCAGGAGATGAAGCAGGTCTGCCCAGTTCCCTTCATGCACCTGAACCAGGAAGACAGATACAGGTCACTGGAGGGAACATCAGCAGAAATGAGCGCAAGGACTTTGAAGTCCTTCCTCAGAGTCCAGACCAGGGACACCACTGAAGGCTTCCAACTTCTTATCTCCCTGAAGGCTCTCAGCCCTGACCCTGCACCTCCCCCAACTCGCACTCCCAATATCTCATACTTAAGATGTCCAGAGATTCACAAATTCTCATTGTCTAATTCTAGGGATCTATAAACCACAAGGAGGCTATAGCCATCCCCAAGGGCTGCGTCCTGGCCTTTCGAGTGAGACAGCTGATGGTCAAAGGCAAAGATGAGTGGGGTGAGCAGAGACCCGCATGTTCTCCCCACAGGATGAGAATTACCGGCAGCAATACTGAGGCACCCTGGTCTCCTCTTGTGGCAGTGTCAGAGCATGAGCAGGGAGGTGTATTGCACTGTGATCCAACTGCAGCCATGGAGGCTGCTCTGGAGAGAAGGGTGAAGAGGCTCCTGGATTCTGAGCATCTTCCGGGTGCTGGGCATTGTGGTCATTGGGGGAGGGGGTACAAAGATGAACAAGAAGTCTGTGGCCAAAGGAGGAAACAGACAGAGACTGGAATGGAAGGTAGAAAGTGGTGTTCTCATAGTATAGCATTTATCAAGGAAGAAAAGATTGCTTCCAGCAAGGGAGGCTGAAGCAGGGAATTAGATGAAGCGCTTGGGGTGCAAAGTCGTAGCCCTTAGCAGAGCCCTTTGACTTGAGACTGAAGAAGGGAACGTGGGGCAGCTGCTAAGTGCCCTCCTGCCCTGCCTCCCTTGCCCTTCACAGATATTCCACATATCTGCAATGATAACATGCAAACCTTCCCTCCTGGAGGTAAGTGAAATTGCTTACGGGTTTCCCACATCTTCTGCCCCACCCCTGACATTATCTGCTAAAATCCTCCACCTTCTCCTAGCTTATACTATAATCCCCCAAGGAGCCTCTGCTTTTGTTTCCCAAGTCCCTAAGAATACCTAGCCTCAACTTTAGGAAAGACAGATAGAGGCGTATATATACTGTCCCAGAGAGAGACAGAAACCGACAGAGACCGGAAGGCACAGTCAGAAGCAGAAGTAAGACTTGGAGACAGAGTGTGTTCCCGAGTCGTGGGGGTGGATGAGCTAGCATAATCTCCGTGTTTTCATAATGATCACTGATGAAACTGCCTTGAAGACTGTTTTAGATGAAAAGGCAAAAATGGGTTTTGTGCTGACAGATGTGCATTTTTTCTGTCTTCAGAAAAGTCAGGAGAGGAGAAGGTCATCCGTAAGTGTTTCCTTTCATTCCACTGAAACTTTCTTGACTCAGAATTTTAAAACTCCAGTATTTTTCTTTCCTTCTCACGGGACTGACAGGGAAATGGCAGAGTGAGTCTTAGCAAACAATTGTCCCCAAAACATGGTAGAAATTCCAATAGCTTGGGAAAAAGCAGTGGAAAGGGGGAGTCTTTGGACAAGATGCCCGGGTGGTCTGATGCCTGAGACCTTTGTCCTCAAGAGCCTTAGTAGCAGCCAGGTACAGTGACTCACGCCTATAATCCCAGCACTTTGGGAGGCTGAGGCAGGAGGATCCCTTGAGCTCAGGAGTTCGAGACCAGTCTGGGCAACATAGTGAGACACTGTCTCTTATTTAAAAAAAAAAAATTTTTTTTTTTTTTTTTGAGATGGAGTTTCACTCTTGTTGCCTAGGCTGGAATGTAGTGGCGCAGTCTCAGCTCACTGCAACCTCCACCTCCCCGGTTCAAGTGATTCTCCTGCCTCAGCCTCCTGAGTAGCTGGGATTACAGGCACCCGCCACCATGGCCTGCTAATTTTTTTTATTTTTAGTAGAGACAGGGTTTCACTATGTTGGCCAGGCAGGTCTCGAACTCCTGACCTCTGGTGATCCACCCACCTCAGCCTCCCAAAGGGCTGGGATTACAGGCGTGAGCCACGGCGCCTGGCCTTTTTTTTTTTTTTTTCTTTTCTTGAGACAGAGTCTCATTCTGTTGTGCAGACTGGAGTGCAATGGTGAGATCTCAGCTCACTGCAACCTCCGCCTCCGGGGTTCAAGAAATTCTCGTGCTTCAGCCTCCCAAGTTGCTAGGATAACAGGCACGGGCCACCACGTTTGGCTAATTTTTAGTATAGATGGGATTTCACCATGTTGCCCAGGCTGGTCTCAAACTCCTGACCTCAGGTGATCCTCCCGCCTTGGTCTCCCAAAGTGCTGGGATTACAGGTGTCAGCCACTGCGCCTGGCCTAACAAAAAAAAAAAAAAAATTGGCCGGGCGCGGTGGCTCAAGCCTGTAATCCCAGCACTTTGGGAGGCCGAGACGGGCGGATCATGAGGGCAGGAGATCGAGGCCATCCTGGCTAACACGGTGAAACCCCGTCTCTACTAAAAAATACAAAAAACTAGCCGGGCGAGGTGGCGGGCGCCTGTAGTCCCAGCTACTCAGGAGGCTGAGGCAGGAGAATGGCGTAAACCCGGGAGGCGGAGCTTGCAGTGAGCCAAGATCGCGCCACTGCACTCCAGCCTGGGCGACAGAGCGAGACTCCGTCTCAAAAAAAAAAAAAAAAAAAAAAATTTAAGAGTCTTAGTAGCTATAACCTGCAACTCAGCCGCCCAGCAACTGGGGCCAGAGCCATTGAGTCACAGTAACACCAGGAACAAGGTAGCTGGGCTCTCCCCAGGAGACAGGCAGGATGTATTTCCTCATCTTCCTTAGTGTCTCATCCCCTGGGTATGGCTGCCATTCTGAAGGATTGCATTCTTATCTTTTTTTTTTTTTTTCCCCTCAGTTATCCAGGCATCTGATGTTGGTAAGGAACTTTGTGAGTTTCTCCGAAGACTTTGGCATGGAGGTAGCAGTAGGGTAGAGAAAGGAGAAGGCAAAGGCATTCTTCTTTGTCAACTAACTCATGAGAAGGGAAAACAGACCTTCTTTCTCCACTTTTTGCTGGAGTCTCAAAGAAAAGTCAGGGGTGTACTGATAGGGGATGACGCCTGGGATCTCAGGAAGATTAACTGTTGGGTTAGATGACATGTATCCTGGCCCACCTTCTCGCCCCAACCCTCAGGTTAGGGTTTTGGTGGATAGTTCTGTCACTGCATTCCTTGGTAAAGAAAAATGGGGCCAGGCTCAAACTGGGGGGTATAGCATGGGTACCTAAAGAGGCTGAGTGTAGGAGCCCTGCAGGGGGATGCTGATTAGAGGGGAAGGTGCCCGATGGAGGGCTGTGTGTCCCATTATTGACCCCACAGGGGACGTACACGAAGGCTTCGGGACACTAAAAGAAGAAGTTCAGAGGGAGACCCAACAAGTGGAGAGGCTGAGCCAAGCAGGGCAAAGCTCCCTGCTCAGCTCCCTCAGCAAACTTCTAGGGAAGAAAAAGGAGCTTCAAGACCTTGAGCTCGCGGTGAGGACCTAGTGGAAGTGGGGAAGGGTGGGAGAAGGCATGTTTCGGTGAAGGTTTGGTGGGGGTGGGTATTGCAGCAGGTGGGGAGATCTGACTGGGGCAGGAGGTGCGTGGCCAGCGGAGTCCATCTTAGATACCTTCCCCAAGGCTGGCCACGTGCCCCCAGGCTGCCAGGCCACTGCTCCTCCCTTTGTCCCCTGGAAAAGGGCAAACAGTGGGTTCCCCCAAGGCACATCAGATGACGCCTGGGATCTCGGGAAGATTAACTGTTGGGTTAGATGACAACATGTATCCTGGCCCACCTTCTCGCCCCAACCCTCAGGCCAGAAGGGCCATCTGCTGGAGGGGCTGGAACCTTCCCTTTCCAGAGTCCAAAACTTAGGGACCAAGGAACCCAGGAGTCCAGTACTCTTCAGGACTTGAGGTCTCGAAAAAGAAATCAGGAAATGGGAGAGAGTTCCCGTGTGTCAAGGGACCATTATGTGCTGGGCCTTGGGTTGGGCCCTTTCCTATGTTATCTTCAATAGTCATCCACCTTCCCCCACAGCTTGAAGGGGCTCTAGACAAGGGACATGAAGTGACCCTGGAGGCACTCCCAAAAGATGTCCTGCTGTCAAAGGAGGCCGTGGGCGCCATCCTCTATTTCGTTGGAGCCCTAACAGGTAAGTGGGGAATAAGGTCTTCATTTATAGACCTTTTCAGTAATAGGAATGAATCGCTTGAATCAATTCCCAAATGGATGAATAAATGAATGAATGAATGACAAATTATACCATAGTTAAGTAGTTTATATGTACATTTTTATAAATTGGTTTCATGGTTGGGCACGGTGGCTCATGACTGTAATTCCAGCACTTTGGGAGGCCAAGGCGGGTAGATCACCTGAGGTCAAGAGTTCAAGACCAGCCTGGCCAACATGGTGAAACCCCACCTTTTCCAAAAATACAAAAATTAGCCGGGCATGGTGGCAGGTGCCTGTAATCCCAGTTACTCCGAAGGCTAAGGCAGGAGAATCGCTTGAACCTGGGAGGGGCAGGTTGCAGTGAGTCAAGATCACTCCATTGCACTCCAGCCTGGGCAACAGAGCGAGACTCCATTAAAAAAAAAAAAAAAAATTGGTTTCATTCCTAAGGATTCACTTGGTCACAATGGGTGATCTAAGAAGACAGCCTAGTCTTGCTAATAGAGGTTGAATAACCCTAGCTTTATCAGCAACATACTTAAAATTTCTGCATATAGCTAAGCTCATCACTTCTATTCTGATACCTGGTAGCTTTAACTTCAGGGAGTAACATTTTCTGATCTTGCCCCTAAAAGCTCTTCTTCCCTCCACATTTTCTAGTTTTCCACTTAGAAAAACTCTGTGGTCCTTCAGGTGTAAGCTAAAATGTTTGTTCCCTTAAGAAGCCTGCCCTCTGACTCCAAGACCAAAGTGAACCCCTCAGCTACGGCTCCCTTAACACCTGTGTTGTAATTACATCCAATGAATGAAGCTGAAATTCTGGAAGTGCGCTATTTGGAGTCTGTAGTCCCCTCTGCACCAGCAACACACATCTTTCTCTGCTTTTTTTCTCCAGAGCTAAGTGAAGTCCAACAGAAGCTGCTGGTGAAATCCATGGAGAAAAAGATCCTACCCGTGCAGCTAAAGCTGGTGAGGGAAAAAGAGCAGATGCTGGGGAGAGTCTGGGAGTAGCTGCAGCCAGTGGAGATGCAGATTTCGCCTAAGGATGGAGCCATTCTGGAGGATCCCCGTCTTATCACAGGGGCTTATGCCCAGTCCTCCTTTCTATTTCTCCTTTTTTGTTATTTCACAAGAAGTAGAAGACTGAATTTCTGGGCAATGATCTGGGTTTATCAGCCTGATCTAGGGAGAAGAGACAGAAACTCTGGCCTTGCTTATTCCTAGCCAAATGTTGTAAGCAATTTTTTTTTTTTTTTTTTGAGGCGGAGTTTCGCTCTTGTTGCCCAGGCTGGAGTGCAATGGTACAATCTCGGCTCACCACACCTCGGCCTCCTGGGTTCAAGCGATTCTCCTGCCTCAGCCTCCTGAGTAGCTGGGATTACAGGCACCCGCCATCATGGCTTGCTAATTTTGTATTTTTAGTAGAGACAAGGTTTCACCATGTTGGCCAGGCTCATCTCGAACTCCCAACCTCAGGTGATCCACCTGCCTCAGCCTCCCAAAGTGCTGGGATTACAGGCGTAAGCCACCACGCCTGGCCTGTAAGCAAATTTTTTAATGTGTTTGAGTCTGTCTCAATTTATTCCTCTGTAAAATGGGGCTAAAAATCAATGTGCTGCCCACATATAGGGCTGTTCAAAGACTCAGATGGGGTTGTAATGTAAGGTAAAGTAAGAAATTCTAGTAAGGGGAATGTAACCTTCTTGTGATTTTTGTGAGTTAGGAGAAGAGAGAGGTTTCCAGTTCTTTCTTTTCATGTTGTGTTGGTTCCCTCCAGGTGGAGAGCACGATGGAACAGAACTTCCTGCAGGATAAAGAGGGCGTTTTTCCCCTGCATCCCGAGCTGCTCTCCTCCCTTGGGGAGGAGGAGCTGACCCTCACAGAGGCCCTAGTTGGGCTGAGCGGCCTGGAAGTGCAGAGATCGGGCCCCCAATATATGTGGGACCCAGACACCCTCCCTCGCCTCTGTGCTCTTTATGCTGGCCTCTCTCTCCTTCAGCAGCTGACCAAGGCCTCCTAATTTGCCTTTTACGTCTGCTTCATGACTCCCTAATACCTTCCCAACCTCGTGGTGCTGTGTCCTTACCACCTAAGGGCATTTCAGAGCCATCAGCTGACGACATCTGAAATCTCAGCTGGTGACCCATGATAACCAATCTCCACCTGTCCAACCATGTATCACCCCCTACCCCTCCAGCTCCACGACCCACTAAGCCCATCTGCTGATGCTTAAATTTTCTTTTCTTTTCTTTTTTTTTTTTTTTTTTTTGAGATGGAGTCTCACTCTATCGCCCAGGCTGGAGTGCAGTGGCGTGACCTTGGCTCACTGCAACCTCTGCCTCACGGGTTCAAGAAATTCTCATGCCTCAGCCTCTCGAGCAGCTGGAATTACAGGCACGTGCCATGACACCTGGCTAATTTTTGTACTTTTAGTAGAGACAGTTTCACCACGTTGTCCAGGTTGGTCTCGAACTCCTGGCCTCAAGTGATCTGCCCGCCTCGGCCTCCCAAAGTGCTGGGATTACAGGCATAAGCCACCGTGCCCGGCCTATGCTTAAATATTCTAGAAGTAGAAGCACTCAGACTTTTAAAACTATGAGTCTCTTTAGCAAAACTGAAAAAAAAAAAAAAAAGATTAATTTCCTATCCTAATCCCTCCTACTTATACTTCCCCAAAAAACAAGCTTTACTGGAATTAATGGAAAATATTATGTCAATCTTAGGATAATATGTCTTTTGGTGTTTTTCTTTAAAGAATTTATCATACAGAAATTCTTAATTTGTGCCAGAAAAAGAAATTATTATCATACTGCATATAGATCATATGTACATGAATATGATGCTGTACTGTCCTCAGGCAAGCTGGAAAATGCTCAGAGGGTACAGAACGTGGAATCTAGGTTCTTTTTTTTTTTCTGTTCAATTAGTTTTCTTTAATGGAGTCTAGATTCTCAAGTGAGAAGATATCAAAGCAGTTTGTCTTCAAAGAAGAGCATTTGGGGGTCCCCTAGCTCTGGGTTGAGGGAAAGACCTAGAGATATGTAGTAGAAGCCCGAAACAAAAATAAGACAAATTTCAAATTTATTGAACAGAAAATGCAGATGGGCCTTTAAAAAAAAAAAAAAAAAAGGCAGGGGGAGCCAAGAATAAGACTACCCCAAAACTTTAAAAACTAAATTGTGGAGGGCCGGGCATGGTGGCTCAAGCCTGTAATCCCAGCACTTTGGGAGGCCGAGACGGGCGGATCACGAGGTCAGGAGATCGAGACCATCCTGGCTAACACGGTGAAACCCCATCTCTACTAAAAAATACAAAAAACTAGCCGGGCAAGGTGGCGCGCGCCTGTAGTCGCAGCTACTAGGGAGGCTGAGGCAGGAGAATGGCGTGAACCCGGGAGGCGGAGCTTGCAGTGAGCTGAGATCTGGCCACTTCACTCCAGCCTGGGCGACAGAGAGAGATTCCGTCTCAAAAAAAAAAGAAAACTAAACTAAATTGTGATATTATTTCACCTTTCTCTGTTCTGCCCTGAAATTTAGGGTTCTTGTAGGTGGAAGTAGTGTGGGTAGGCTTGGCATATGGACCTACTACTAATATGGATATTACAATCTCATCAAACTGCTGGGTTTATATTATCCTCCTCTGCCTAAAAGCTAGGTTTGAACATCTTTCACCAACTTCTTTTAAAGCAGTCTTAGGATCAGACACAGTAGCTCACGCCTGTAATCCCAGCACTTTGGGAGGCTAATGCGGGCAGATCGCCTGAATCAAGGAGTTCAAGATGAAACCCCATCTCTACAAAACATACAAAAAAATTAGCCAGGCATGGTGGCATGTGTCTGTGGTCCCAGCTACTCAGGAGGCTGAGGTGGGAGAATCACTTGAGCCTGGGAGGCTGAGGCTGCAGTTAGCCAAGATAGCACCACTGCACTCCAGCTTGGGTGACAGAGCGAGATCCTGTCTCAAAAATTAAAAATAATTTTTAAAAAAGTAGTTCTATGCGTGCAGCACATGGCTGTAATCCCAGCACTTTGCAAGGCCGAGGCAGGAGGATCATCTGAGGTCAGGAGTTCAAGACCAGCCTAACCAACATGGTGAAGCCCTGTCTCTACTAAAAATAAAAATTAAAAAAATTTAAAAATTAGCTGGACGTGGTGGCTCACACCTGTAGCCCCAGCTACTCGGGAGAAGGAGGCAGGAGAATCGCTTGAACCCCAGAAGGGGAGGTTGCAGTGAGCCAAGATCACGCCACTGCACTCCCTAGCCTGGGCAACAGAATGAGATTCCGTTTAAAAAAAAAAAAAAAAAGTTTTATGAGTGGAAGAATTTCTCTAAGGATTTTAGTCCCTGGAGTCAGACTCTCCCCCGGCGTCTTAGTCGCCCGATGCCCAGCCTGGTTCCCTCAACCACCAAGAATTTATGACCAACTGCCAGAAGCTTTGTGTTATGCCGCCATCCTCCCTGATCCTGAGCACCTTCCAAAGCCTCACTCTGTTGCTCATGGATATACTGGGTTGTTATCTGCTGACTTGGTTGTTTTGTCCTTGTGATGTAAACTTAACAGAGAGATGAGCTAACACCCTAACTAACCAGAAGAGTAACTCCTTTGATTGTTAAGGATGAACATAACTCATCTGTTTTCTTCCTTACCATTCTCGCCCACCTTCAGTTGCAGATACGGTGTTATGAAGAGGTTCTAATGAGTTTATTCCAATGATGATTCAAAAATCCTGTTATCCATCCCCCAGCCCTGGAGGGTGAGAGGACAGTTGAGGAGGAACTGGTCAAGGCATGTTCCCTAAAACTAGAGCACATATCTTTCCAGTTAGCAAGTGGCTGTTTAATGCAAGGAACATCCTGCAATCCTACGAAAGAGGATGCAAAAGATATGTAGGATACCCTTTATATATGTAAAGGAGGAGGAGGTCAAAACATATTTCCTGCCTTCTAGGTCCTTACAACAGGGCTAAATTTTCTTGCAGGGTCTGTGAAAGGTCTAAAACTCAGGACTTTCACTTATGGGAGAGAGAAAAGTTTGAAGGTAGGGAGAGAGTTTTTGTTTTGTGTTCTAAGAAATTGGGAACTATATCCTTCACCTTGTTTCACCTTCCCTGCAGAATCAATGGGGGAGTCCTTTGAAAAATAAGTGGGTAGAGTTTCTTGTCCAATTGGCTTCCCCTTAGGCACAGCACTAGGTAAACCATCATTCTCTCCTTAGGCACACTATTATTCTGTTCGCCATTTCACAATGTCTGTCTGGATGTATAAAAGCCCTCTCAACGGGCTCCCTAAAGCGTCTGCCAGTAGTGGCTCCCACCCTCTTTCCTCAACACTCCCAATCCACCGCAGCCCAGAGCACTGTGTCTGGTTATCTAACCATCTGACTCTCCCGTATACTACATTCTTGAGCTGTTTTTCACCCCCCTATTTGCTAGCCCTGGGCCGTACATAGGGTGGGCCCCTACATTTTGTTAAACTGGAGTGATTCTACGCAAATGCACGCTCACCCTGCAGAGAATTGTATGCCTTATCTTCAGCACTAAACTAAAATCTAATCAAGGAAGTCCGGATCCCATAGGATTCTTGCTACTCTCCAGTTCGGTTTATTTTAAGCCCAACAGCCCTAGCTTCACGTCCCTCCTTCGCAGCCTTCTTTCCTTCCCTCCTGCCGGATGCGCCCAGCAGCCGTTGAGCCCAAGCCCCGCGGATTTGGAAGGAGACCCCCCCATCGGGGAAAAGGGAGCGAACTTGGGCGCAAAACCCGCCCGGCAACTCTTGACGTTATCTCGCCCCGCGCTCGGATGGACTGTACTCACTCCACGCTGGTTGAGATGCTCTTAAAGTCCTTTGTAACCCAGATTGGAGCCTGAGGGGACCTCTCGTGGACGCCCACAGAAATGCACTCGAGAGGAACATAAAAGCATCACACTTCAGCGCTAGAAAGAAAGCACCAGGAACCCATACAGGCTCCTCCCAGCTCCTTCCTTGAAGCTCCTCCTTCATCCTGCACCTCGGCTGTTGATTTATTTCCCCTTTGTTGACTCGGCCATCGGCCTGCCGTGCCTGGGCTTTCCCAGAAGGCCCAGCGCCGGGAAGGGGTTTGCAGCTGCTCCGTCATCGTGCGGCCCGACGGTAGCCCGCGCTGGTGTGTAGGCCCGGCTCGGCTCCTGGTCCCCGGTGCTACGGTTCACGCGAGGCCCCGGCCTCGGTCCCCGGACTAGGCCGTGACCCCGGGTGCCATGAAGCAGGAGGGCTCGGCGCGGCGCCGCGGCGCGGACAAGGCGAAACCGCCGCCCGGCGGCGGAGAACAAGAACCCCCACTGCCCCCGGCCCCCCAGGATGTGGAGATGAAAGAGGAGGCGGCGACGGGTGGCGGGTCAACGGGGGAGGCAGACGGCAAGACGGCGGCGGCAGCAGCTGAGCACTCCCAGCGAGAGCTAGACACTGTCACCTTGGAGGGTACGGGAGCCCAAGCCGGGAACGTGCCGCGATCACGGGTGACAGCGACCCCTGTGATTCGGCTTCTCGCTGGGAAGCCAGAGCAGCCTCCACAACCCTCAGTTCCTTGGGATTACCCCCAGATACCTGCCCCCGCTACCCTGACACTTCCGACTCCAGGCCCAATGACTGAACCTTCTCTCCAGGCTGGGAACCACTCCCCTCCCATCCCCTCCATCCCCATATCTGGGGTTGCATCTATATCTAGGTTCCACTGGGCCTGGGGACTCCTTCTTCTAAGTCCTCCCCTTTCTAAGCCCTCCCCTCTGACCTATTCCATTTATATCCCACCTGACTGATTTTAGCGCCTCCAATATATGACTGATTGATCCCGCTAGAAACCAGTGTTTGTGTCTACGTGTGTAAACAGGGCCGGAATGACCTAGAATATCGACTCCTGATTTTTAAAACTGTACAGCAGATTTTTGTTGTCCTAGCTGCCTTTAGCACACTCCCCCGAATGAACCATTTCGACCTAGTATCTTGTTTCCTATTTCTCTAACTGAAGTATCCTCACAGTCCCTTTGCTGTCTCCTTCTCCCTTCAGGTCCCTACTGCCCCTCTGTTTCTAAAGGGTCTAAGTACACACACACTTAAAACTTTTCGGGTGTCATCTTTGTTTGGTTTTGTAATACTAACCTTTGGCCTAAACTGCTGTACACCAGTGTCTCCTATTTCTTTTCTCCGAGGTTCCTGTTTCAAGTATCCGTAGTCCTCTTGTTCCTCCAAGTTCATGTTTTACTTTTCCCACTTAGAGCATCCTGTCTCCATTTGAAGTGGGTAAAGTGAGAGCTTCCCACTGTGATCCTGGTGCCGTTTTCGTGGTTCTGGATCAAGTGGGACCACACTACTTACTAGGTTTTCTTTTC